TAACTTGACTTCCACAACAAAGACTTGAAGCATACTGAAAACAAGCTAAGAAACAAGAAGCCTTGCAGGAGAGATGTTTCAGCAGATAGAAAGCTTGTACTGTAACCCATCATGGCTGGAATATATTTCACATTAAGGAAGACTGACTATAAAGTTTGAAAGGTACCAGCTCGTACCATGCTCAGGTTGTTGCACGTGTATGTGAAGGTGGAGAGGAAGGATATGGAAATATATCTGCGAAGGAGATTGTTTACTTAAAGGCCTTTTTGAAATCACGGCAGTTGCTGAAACTGGAAATGTTACTTATCCTCCTATTTACATTTATCTGGAACCTACCTCAGAGAGGCAAAAACCAGCATGAATAATAATTCTAAAGTATTTTTAGAAGATATTTATAACTGCCCTTTGCTTTACCTGTCCCTTCCCCTACTAGAGAACCTCTTCAACTCCTCATCCTCTGTTTCAGTCCTTCTGGAAACCTCCTGGGATCTGCCTAATGATCACTGGATCACAGTTCTGCTGACCAGAGATGCTGCTCACAGTCCAATGCACCCTTCCATTTTTCACATCCTGCATAGTGTATTAATCTGTGTAAGTTATTTCTCATCCTCAAACTCTGAAGTTGCCTTAAATACACATCCACTGATAACTGTATGGCAATATAGAAGAGCCCAAGCTACTGCTTTGGGATCAATTCTGACAAATCATCCGAGAGCTTGCCATCACTTGCTCTCCCTCTCTCTCTCTCACACACACACATACACACATTATTCCTGCTTCTGCGGTGGAATTCTGATTTTACTCCTAAAAGGAATTAAAAATATACTGAATTGCTCATCCTCCTCTGGATACTGTGCACAACTGTTGCCATCAAAAAAATGAAGACCAGTCCTCTTAGAGTTACCACATGTCCCTAGCAGAGATACTCTACTTATTCTCTGAGAATAGTTGAAAAATCTAGTGTCATCATTCATGGAAATGTTGATATCTGATGATACTTTGATAGCAGTGTTTGTATTCTATGTGTCCAATGTCCTGGACAACAAGCTAAAAAGTAGCAGTTCTTTACAGTAATTTAAAAGGATTCCTTGCCCTTTCTTTAAAGAGCAGAGATTGGGCTCAACTGTTCTTGGATGGAAGTTAATCCAGTATATATTTTAGATGGATACATTTCAAAACAAATGTGGAAAAACTACTACATTAAAAAAAAAGAAAAAAGAAAAAAGCTGTCCTTTGATATAAGTGGTTATAAAACTGAGAAGTAAACAAAATCTAATCAGTTAACAACAGTGTAGCTATATGCACTAACCAAACTGATTAAGAAATCTGTGAGAAATAATGTAGGAGAGTACAAACCTCCTCAGTGATACTGCAATTTAATAAAACGTGTATTGCAGAGTGAATTCCTCTGCTCTAGCTTTAAAAGTGTTCAGAGTCTCACCCTCTTCCACTTATGCCAGAACAAACATGTTTCCATCACCGAGTTTTTAGTTCCCTGGCATGAAAATAGAAATTATATATTTTCCTGAAGTTTTGCAACCTCTAAAAATTGTGTGTGGCATTTTGCTATCACTTCCAGCAAGGAATCTGTCATTCTTGGATACAGTGGTGCCAGCAAATGTTAGTGCATAAGTTTGTAATACTTTGCTCCTCACCATGAGCAGTGCATCTTCCCAGGTGCCGTGCTCATAGCTCTCACCTCTGACTCCTGCAGATGTCCCGGTGATCATTCATCACCTCCGTGATTTCCACTAAGAAGCAAAAGGTCTTCAGAGTGCTTCTCAGCTGCTGTTTCATCTCACCATGACTAAAGAAGCGAAGGTGTGCACATCATCTCCAAGGAACAACCTCTAATGAATGACCTGTCAGCCGTGTCTCTCGTTAAGGAATAAAGGTGAAAAAGTTTGCATGGCTGACGTCTCTTCCATAAATCCCACATACAGGAAGTGTGTAAAAGTGGGCTATTTTAGGAAAAATATGTACAGCGAGCTTCCTTTATTTTTATTGCTATTTTACAGCTGTATCAGAGATTTGTTCTGTCAAAGGCATTTCCAGCTGCTTTAATCTAAAATGCCTGCCATAGAGAGTACCCAGAATATCAGCTTTTCATATTTTCTTGCCTGCCAGTGTGGTTTACAAATAAATTGTGAAGGGGATGTAATCTTTAGGCTCCAGTGGGATGAATAGTTCAAAGGATGATCACAAATCATTGCTTAAACAAAAAACGTGGTATTCACTTAGATTTGCACTGGCTTCTCTGGTCTCTTTGAATAATTCCAGTAGGAGAATTTATCAGCAATAATATTCATGGAAATAGACTTCTAAAAAGAATTTTAGAGTCTATTAATTCTGACCCCAAAAGTCTCTTTGCAGGCAAGAACACAAAATCTGGACAGTATATGTACCCACCATATGTGGAATTTTAAACGTCTTTCAAGTTCTACCTGCCAATAGTGATCTAACTTGTAAAGCTATTATAAATCAAAGCAAATTTTCAGAAAACACTTAGTAAAAAAATTCTAAGTAAAAATTAATAATTGAATACCTAGCAGAGTTATTGATGGTGGTAGTCTGCCACTGATAAAAATGCAGCACCCCTACTTTAGTACAAAGAGAATTCACCTTAAGGTTTGTTAAAAAGCAAGTAAATATGTGACGTCTTTATTAAAAAATAAATAGTTTTACATTCATAATGGGAATTAGAACAGCATCAGGCTAAGTCAAGCTGAAGCATGAATAGAATAATATCTTCAGAAGAAAAGAGTTTAATTCGGTTACTCTAACTTTTATGACAGGCATTCAGAATCTCTGGGTCTCATAAAGCATACATTAGACACCCTAATGAATCTCAAAACCTTAGTGAAGCAGTGATGTGTGGATCATTGGTAGGGGGAATGGAGGGAGGATAGCATGGATTAGATGTGGATTAGAACTTGTTTTTAGAAAAAACTCATAAATAAAACACTTAGGCCCAGATTCAAGTCTCAGATATGTGGCATATATCACCAGATGCTTGTAAAAAATGTTACTGCACTTTCAGTCCTAGCCCTGAGTACTCTATTAATTTAACTTGACATTTGTTTTAGTATTTAATGGATTACTGTGTGAAAATGCTTGTGCAACTGCCTTCTTATGTTTGATCATGCAGTTTCCAGGAGTTCAGGGGCAAATAGATAGAACAATGCGTAGTTGGTTGCAATGCATAGTTACAGAAAATACAACTTTTATGTGCAGAATTCAAGCCTTATTTTTTAAAAGTTTTATCATTTGTTGCTGAACACATTTTAGCAATACATATGATTTCAGCTTTCTTCTTGGATGTAGATGATCTTTACGTTAGAGGCCACCATGAAGCTATGCTAGAACCTGGTGTTTATTCAGACAATCAACACATGAACAATTCTTCAGAGAGCTGTTCTGTCCATCTCGGGGGCTAAATTCTATCAATAAACACATGACGTGTTTTAAAAGTGCAAATGTGAATTCTGTCCTAGTTACAGAATTAGCATCAAATCCATATGTGTGTGTGTGTGGTTAAGTCTGAGGAGAGTGAATAGTATTAGTAAATCGTATATGATACTATTCCACTATTTACATTTAACATATGTGTGTATATACATATACATGTTTCATATTCTGGCAAATAAGAAGGCTTGTTTGCATGGTGCTGGCCTTTGGCAACACAATAGTTTTTAGGAAGTGCATAAAATGAGGTAAGACAATTGAAGATTTGACTTTATGATAGCTGATTAAGTTCACAGTAATTTTCTATGTTCCACATGCTGTATCTTTTTTTACAATTTTAACCTGCTCCAGTACCAAGGAAAAAAGGTCATCTGTTAAAAAGGGCAAAAAATATTATCTGAGGGATGAAATTCTGTATCTGGTGACTTGGTGGATTACCACTCCTGAGCTTTCTATCCTTGCCTGCTGCAAGTAAAAGCAGTCTGGAACTATTCTAAAATACTCTGTTGTGCTTGCAGTAATGTCAAGGAACTATATCTCTCAGTTGAACAGTTTTGCTTCTCACTGGTCTAAACATCAAGCTCTGTGGTGGATGGCACAGGGCCATCTCAGTGCCGTGAAAAGGCAAGAATGGGACAAAATATCTGCCCTTTAGTGTGAAGAGATTTTTTCCTTTATTTTGTGACAATGGTACTGATATGCTAAATGCAGCGTCACCTCCCTGCCCAGAGATGAGACACCATTGCAGTTTCCAGATCCAGAGATGAAGTCTCTGTACCTCAGTAGAGTATCTTTTACCTTCTCTGTTCATCCAGATTCATGTTACCACACTTGTTAACTTTTTTTCCTAAAATGAATGTGCCTAAAATTAGGAACTTTGTTCATTCAATTCACCATCAGTGAAGGAAATCAAGCACCTCCAATCAGTTCTTCTGATCTTAGGTGGACTGAGTCCTGGTCTAATGATGCACATAGCTCTCTAATGGTTATACAGGCAAGCAAGGGTGGTCAGGGTCCTGCTTTGGCTGTTGCAGTAATTTGTCTAAAAGTAGGTACATGAAGCTGGACAAGTGAGTCTTCAGAGAACTGTTGTTCTGAACTGAAAGTAAATGTGCAGAGTTTTTATCTTATTTCTCTATTTCTTCTTTAGTTTGCCAGCTCAGGGGGGCTATGAGCTTTTCTGCTAGAAAGCCTACAATTCTCTATGCATAAGAGAGCTCAACTAAAGTGTAATGTCAATTGGTCCATCCCTACAATACATAGACCACTGAAACAGCTGGCTCTCATGAAATTCCCATGAATTCAAATACCCATGAATTTTTAGGGGTATACCACCTAAAAAAGTACGCTCACTAGTGCAGATGAAAGTACATTACACCCTCATTCCCTCACCCTGTGGATAGCCTAAATAGGTTTATCTGGAACTGCACTAAGTGGCTGAACATGTAGAACTTTGAATGCTCTGGAATGACAAACCTCCAGCCCTCACTCCAGCCCTGTCCCCACTGGCCTTAAGTTGTGACTTGGAGTGGTACCAGGATGTCCTTTTCGATCACATATTTTGATGACCTCTGCAGAAAATATGACACAGTCAGTGCCATGTAACTGTGAGTCCTAAACAGTCATGCAAAATATATCACTTAAAGTATAATGTGCCTGTGAGGTTGCTTTGATTAAATCTTGGAATTTCCTTAGGGATGGTGTAGCTGCCAGAGAGGTTTAGGAGGTAAACAAGTCCTTTGTTCCGCGAAGTCCCGCCCCAATCTGCTCCAAAATGTTATAACCAGCAAATTTCAGTAGGTTAATAAGGTGAATCAGGTAAGTGGTTTAAATTAATAGGTGAATATATTTGCAACATCGTATATTAATGATTTCCCAGTGTAATACATCATAATGAGTAAATGAGCTTCTAAGAAGAAGAGATTGCTTTCCCTGAACACGAAACAGACCTATTTTTGGTTGATATTATGAAAGGACTATACCCATTTTTATACAGCCTGGGATATAGAGGAAGGACACAAGTTAGTCCTAATATCTGTGTGGAGGTGGTGTTTAATTTGAGTGCCCAAACCAAAGGCAGTCTGATTCTCTACAGCCAGATTTGCATGCAGATATAAGGAGAGACCCCTAAGTAGCCTGGAGCCTAAAATCTGCTACAAGGAGACAATGCAATACTTTAATTTTTGAACCTTTGTACCATGGTAATGGAATCAGGTTGGTACCATTAGTTCTTACACAAATAAGAGGAATGAAGAGTCATAATTTGTAAAGGCAGAAAATTCTTCCTGGGCTCAGATTGAGAAGATCAAGGGAAGAATGAGAAGCAGCAGAAAAAAAAAAAAAAAAAATTGTTGCCTGGATAACTTACCAAAGATGTATATTAGTGAAATCTTACCTTTCTTACTGCTTTTCTTCCTGTGTGGTCAGGACAAAGAGTAGTACTGTCCAGCTACCACAGCCACAGATGACAGGAAAAAATTAAGCATTCAGAAAATATTAATATTTTGTAAGTTTTGTAAAAATGTAGAGATTTTTATAGCTCTACATTTCTTTTTTGATAATTACAGACCAAGTCCTCTTCTGATAGAAAAGATCTAAGTTACACTTCAGTTAATGAAACAAGGCCAGCAGTTAATGAAACAAGACCATCTTATCCCAGCAGAAAATCTCATCTCTGTTTTACAGCAAAACTAGAGGAAATGCAGCAAACTTTCTGTAATATGTACAAGCCATTCTTAGTATTCAGATGGCTCAATATTTACCCTATGAACCACTCTCTTCAGCTCACTAAACATTTATTCTGCTAAAGTCTGTTTTCTTGCAGTGTGATGTTCTCCCACAGCTCCTCCTCTTGCAATTTAAAGATCTGACTTTACACATTACAGGTTTGGAGCAGTGTCTTTTGAGGGTGGGGGGAGAGCAGGGGGGATTGGATAACTGCCCAATTTCATATGATAAAAGTGAAATTCTCTTCTGTCTGCAGAACAATCCCCAGGGAACAACGTATGAAACCCAAACTTAAATAAAATCATATCCTGTTTGCAAACATCATATTCCCTTTGCTTCTCAGTAATCTGGACCCATAAACCCCAGCACAGCTTGAGAGCCCATTCCTCATCTAAACAAATGCCATAAGCCCCTTTATACTTTTACAACCATGTCAGAAAATAATATTGACTGCCAATAGTGATGTGATTGGAGTTGCCTCCTCTGAGCCATAAAAGAAGCAGTCTGTTATCAATTTCTCTAAATGCATCAAGGGAATTATGGGTCGGTTCAGTTCCAAGTTATAAATGACAATTCAAAAGCCGCAGAAGTGTTTGAAGCTGGGAGCCGATGATGACATTATCATAAAAGCCTGCTCTTCTTTGCTTTTGTGGGTTTTTTTGCCTATCAACTAGACAAAAAAATATGGCTGAGAAATGACTTCAAGATTTCTTCACACAGCAGCAGGTCAAACAGACAGGAAAACAATCACTATTTTTAGTGACAGACTGAAGCAAGGAGATGAAACTTGCTCCCATTAAAAGTAGATTTCTGCTTCTCTTATTGTCATTTTCACAGTACAACAGAAGGGGAGGAATTGAAGTAGATGGATGCGTTGACCAAATGGTCAGTTATAGCTCTTGTGGCTGTTTACAGATGAAAAATCGTGGAATGGTCTGATAATCTTCAGAAACAAAAAGTAATTTGTGATTATTCTCCCCATTTGGCCACTTCACCTGCAATCTACCCACCTCTCCTGGAAAACTTTTTACATTCCAAACCTCTGACCAGCTGCAAGAAACCATCTCTTATTAAAACTGCTGGCCGTAGAGCTGCTAGTCTCTATCCAACACAAGGAATTTCATCCCCCTGGTATTAGAATTCTTTAACAACAGTTGGTTCTGGAACAATATTAAGCTTGAAAAAAAGAATAAAAAGCATTATTGCAAGAGGGAGTTCCCATACTTCAGTGGATGTTACACTCCTGACACTGGATAAAAAAATTAACCATCATTGAAAGAAAGCGTGTTATGGTCAAATTTAGGTTAGATTTAGACAACTTTTTTTTTCTCTCTGTGAGATCTGTTCAGTTTAGCTGTCAGTATGAAACAGCTTTGTGCTCTTAGATAAGACCTAATTATTACTTAAATAATTTCTTATAAAACTGTAAAGTTTATGGTTTGATTTCTTCTGAAAGCCTAACATATACCAAATGAAATTCACCTGTGACCCTGACACAATCAGTCCCTATCAGTACTTGAAATAAAACTTAAATGGATGAAAAATGTTTACAAAATCAGTAAGTGATAGCTTTACATGCATTTTGTGCTAGTATTAAAGATTTAGAACCATGATGGAACAAGGTCGGCAAATATTAGTTATGGTCTCTTGTTTGCTTTTCAAAATTCTTGAAAAAAACTTTGTACATTTAAGTAATGTCCAGAAAAGAGAATCCCTGATCTTGACTGCAGTTTTGCATCTGTTAGAACAGAGATAAAAATAAAATAAATAATATAGGAGAATTCAGGGTTATGGAGGTTAGTTGGACTTTTGTTTGTGAGCAATGCAAGCCACCCCAAACTCATGCCAATATAGGCTGTATAGCCCATATGCTGATCATGTCTTCAATGTCTGTGAAGTTCTAGTTTCCAGTCCTTGCTCCAAGAGCAGTTTCCATTTTGTCCAGTGATTCTTTCAGGTGAAATATATAAGCTGTTTGTGGAGCAGGGGCTCAGAGCTAGGACTTCACATTATTTATAAACGTATGATAGGGAGATAGTAGCCAACATGGGCTTCATCCTACTTATGCTCTTACTAGTCCAGTGCTGTTTCCAGCAGTGGCACAGATTCAGTGTGTGGTGTGAGGGTCCCCAACTAGAAACGATCTATGTTCTCCTCAGTGGTAACAACATCTGCTAAGAGATGGAGGCTCTGGTATTAAATCCAGCCTGGCACTGGAGAGAAATGAGCCTAGGTTTCCCATCCCCTGTGTGAGTAGTCTAACCACTGATTTAATAATAGAAGAGCTTCATAATAACAGCCAGCAAGGTCCCCATATGGTTAGAAGACAATAGGATCAAAGAGCTCTGAAAACCATCGTTCAAGAGACAGCCATAATGTCTCCTGCAAGAAAGGAGTTCTTTTTTTCTTAATACTTTCTCACTGTATTCTTTAGCAAACAATTAATCAAGCAAGCAAGCAAGCAAAACGAAAAAAAATATTTAAAATTGTCTTCTATCCCTCCCTAAAATCTTTGCATGAATTACTTACTACTTTACATTGATTACTGCTTTGTAACCCTCAGTTAAGTTGAAAGTTACTAAGTAGCAATGCTTCTTCTTTCTTTCCACCATCATTTTTGAAAAGTAAACTTAAGAATTGCTTTCCACGCAGTTTGAAGCAACTCCATTTCCCAGAGCTCATCTTAACCAACAGACAGCTAAATATCACTGAAAGAGAGCTCATAATCTGATTATTTACCTTGAAAAAGGTCATAACCCATTCCTTTAAAAGAGCCCCACAGCAAGTCTGACAATAATAATATGTAGAAAGGCAAACCAACTAGAAAAAAATAAATAAAAGATCCATTTCTACGACATGTTCTTTAATCCGATTTCCATGATTTTAAATAAGAAATAAAGCAAACAGGCTCAAAAAAAAAAAAAAAAGCAAAAAAAAAAAAAAAAGTGTAGCTAAATGCTTAAAAAAATGAAGTTATACTGAGCATTTTTGACTTGCGTTAGCTTTAGAATGGACAATATATTTTCATAACTAGAAGGATTTCAAAGCACACCTCTTTCACAATTTTTTAATACCACAATAACTTGCTTCATAGAAAAAACTTGTATTTTAATTTTCAAAGCATACCACAGTCCTACTTACTTTCCAAAGCCCTCAAAAAGTTTTGTTCAAGAAATCTTATATCACCTCCTCTTTACTCAGAAGCCTGAACAACATCCTTTCTCAACTTTATTCATCTCTTGTTCAACTTTTTCTAAACTTCTTAATAACCTCAACAGTGTGAAAAATTATCTTTTTTTTTTAATGCATGAGTGTGCATATGTGCACACAGTAGTGTACAGAGGTGCATGTGCATGTCTATGTGTCAGTGTGTAATGTTAGCTGATCCACATACAGGTATCACCCCCAGGTTTCAAAATTAGCAAGTTGCTAGTCACCAAATTCTGAATTTTAGGCAGAATCCTCAGCAAGCTAAGTCCGCAGTGGAGGAGCTGGAATGATTACCACTTCCTGATTCTTTATTGCTTAACTCATAGTTGAGGAATCCTCAAAAATTATTAAATACTGAAAGTTAAAATGGATTTTTTCTTTTCCTGGGTTAAAACCTTACAGTATAAGTATTTCTTGTCAAGTATCTAATAATAAGAAACCCCACTATAAATGAGACTAATAATGGCATGGAATTTATCCTTTGTGAAGGACAAAAGTAAAAACTTTTGAAGGTTGAATTGGAAGTTGACCTCCAGAGATTGTGACTTTATTCCTGCATACGCAGAAACAGTGAAAGGAAACTAAAATATATATGCATCATCCAGCCAGTCCATCAATATCTAGTGATATCATCAATTTACTTTGATATTGCTGACATCAGGAAATAATTGGCCCAGCTGGATCAAAATTGTAATTTTGTATGAAAAAACCCTGTATGTGAAAAATTATTTCTCCCTGGTATTATCTTCACTAGAATTTAATAGGAGCACGATGCCAACATCAGTAGAAATCCTCCATTCTACATGTTTTCCAATAATTTAGATTAATTCTTTCCTCTAGTGTTGCAACTGATTTTTGTCTAGTGTGCCCTAATACTCACAAGCTTATATTTCAGAATGAATCCATTTCAAAACAGGACATCAAAATGCTCAAAAAATTTGTTAGTTGAACACCCAAGTTATTAGCTAGCAGCTAGTGAGCACTACTCATGTTAAATATTAGCTCTGGTAGCTTTTTTGTCTTTTCTGAGAAATGTGAAGCTGTATTTACTTTTCAACAGTACACAAAACAGCTTCTCCAATGCTCGTTCTATAGAATTGAATTGCTATAAAAATTGCACCTATGTTACTTTCCTTAAAAATAGAGCTCATGTGAAAAACCCAGAGTGGGACAACTAAGAAATATGCATATTATCACAAAGTATGTTCCTATCTAACTGTTCCCTATGCTTATTGTAATGGAATGTCTTCTGTGTCTTTGAAAACACAGTGTGATAATGGCTCAGGTTTCATCTCTACATTTTTATCAGCTTCTGAGGATTTTGAACTGACAATGCAATAGTGCTATAGAATTCATGAATTAATATATATGTTGCATATTGTCCCGCTTGTGAAAAAAACAAGCATCTACTTACCCCAAGTCCCCCACAAGGCAACAAGGAAAAGAGTTTTTGAGACACGTTTCCTATATATTAAAGAAAAAAAGAAACAATAAGCATCATTTATCAAAAAGACATTTAAATACTGGAACAGTGATCACTTTTCTGTAATTCAGATTTTGGTCTCACGCAATGAAAGCGTCATGTATTAGAATAAAAAAAAATATTAATAGTACTTAGAAAACAAATCAGCCATGGGACATCTAAGGTACTCTTTTGCAACAGTGATAAATCTTAAGATTGGTAAGCAGTAGTTTCAAAGGAGTATAATGATCGAATATCCACAGAAATTCTCTCTGAACTAGGGTGACTAATCATCCTGATATCTGTAGCTGATAAGCAGCTTGTCTAAGCTGGTCATCTCAGCTTCTTCTACAGCCAGTGGAGTGAGATAGGCACCTCTACCCAGCCTAGATGACTGATGGGATAAATTATACTTGAGAAGTGCCTGTTTCTTTTCACTGACAACAGAGGGAACTTCATTAAGCTTACATGAAACTGATAACTAATTTTTTAAATTCATCTCTCCAGAAAAGTTTCTCCTTTGAAAATCTGTCTTAGTCTTCCTATCTATGCAGAAATACTGTTCTTTTCATTTACATACCACCAATGAATACATTAATATTTTAAAAACATAAAATGAAAAACTCCTTGTTTCAGTATTACTCAGTCAATACATTCTACTAAAAGGAGCAGAAACTTGATAGGCTCTAGAATCTAATTTCTTACTCTGCTCTATATATTAGATAATGTGATAGGGTTTATCTTAATATTTATACTCACTTTTTATTCATTCATGTTTTCTTTTTTTTGTACCACTAAACTCACTGCTTGTCTTGATAAGGACAATATGAAAACTGTGTAAGGATCTCAGGATTTGATGCAGTTCCTATCCCGGTATGTAATCTGATCCTAAGGCAGCTGTGGAAGAGAACATAAGCTTTTCCCCTGCCATATCACAGAACTGGCTTTGTAACTTTGCCATCTGGAGGAAATGTTAGATAGTGAATCACTCAAGTTACCTAGAGGAGCCACCCATTGTTATGGAAGGGGCGAATGCTGCAGTTACTCATGTTTAGCAGGTGCCAATGAAATGCATAAAGACAATTATAAGCCATCATCTTTGAAGTAGGAGAGACCAGACTGCAAGGTCCGAGATGAAGAAAATGCTTTACACTTCAAGTAAAATCCAAGATGCATTTTTAACCGACTAGAGGCCTTTGATCAGTTTGCACAGTGTGTGAGAAAAGCCAAACAAAACCTCCTGTGGAGCTACCAGGGGAAATGCAGGTGCAGCAGCTATGCAGAGTATCCTCATACTGTGAGTCCTAATGGCACCAGACATGCAAGGAAATGTTGGCTGCAGGAGACTGTCATAGTAGAGATACGGGAGGAGTTTCCAGATCTCTTGCTAAGCAGATCCAGGGACCAATGCGAACAGCAATTTTTCACTTTTTACTATGGGGAAGATCAAAAAGTCCTGAGCAGATAACTAGAAAATTAGTGCTGTTAAAGTGCCAGGAGACATTAATGGAAACATAAGCTGTAATTTGAGATAAAAGAAGGCATTTTTTGAAAATTGAATGAATAGATCTTTTTTTTCTTAAATTCCATTGGAGAGTTGGGACATAAGAGAGAACAGATGAATTCTCATTTATCTCCCTGCAGCCGGGCACATTGTGCATGGTAAACACTATTAAAACCAACAAACACAAAGTAAAAACAGAAAAGCAGATGGTGAGGAAGGACACTAAAATCAATCAACAGCTAGTACTAAAATGGGGGGAAAAAAGCAACAAAGCCTTTTCAGTGTATCAAGAAACTTGCCAGGTTACTCACTTCTTATTGCATGATAATAAAAAAGAGCAGGTAACAGACTTAGCAGAACAAGAAAAACATTGAGATTTCATTAAAAGAACAGTGGGGAAAATTTCTACTGAGAGAGTGAGACCATCACTTAGATGGTCTCACAAAAAGAAAAGGGTTCACAACACTCTTTGTCATAAATGTAAATCAGTAGCAAAAAGTAAACCCTGAAAATGAATGAAAGTGAGAATTTGCCATGAGGTTTGGAGTTGATTTCACAGCAGAACTTGGTAAATAGCAGTCATTTTCCAGTAACAACCTTCCACACCCCAAGATACCTCCAGAATAATAATAAAGATAATGGGATACTTCAAATAAGATAGAAGAAAAATTTTAAGTAGAGTCATACATTTTTTTGGCTTTGCATTCATGACAGAGTTTGCAGTCACCAGCAAATAATTTGAGAAAAATCTTTTAGTTAATAGTACAAGTCAGTACAACAATTTACTGGTAGAACTAGAAAAATTATCTAGATCTACCTTCTATCTATTATCTACCTTCTAAGTGGTTAGTCAATTCAAGTGCTGAGGCCCCCATCATTGACTGAGGTTGGGGCCCCTACAGAAGTCAAGGAAGCTGCTTAGGAGGTTGACAGTTGAGGACTGAGAGTCTGATGACCAGGAAAAGTGATGAGCAAAAATTCTCCTTCACAAAAATAAACAAATGAAAAAGTGTGTTCACTTGTGAAAAGGCACAGTTTGAGAAACCTGATTGTTTTCAGCATCCTCCCTCAAGAATGAAGCCATTTCTGCTAAGTGGTCATTTTTTCACTAACTTGAAATTGCAATTGCACAGATGCTCTGAGAGTGCATCTTTCAGTCATACTCTAAATACTGTCTCACTGACAGGGGTGTGTGAACAGTATATTTCACACTTTTTACAAACTTGCAATCATTGAAAACTTGATTTTTAGAAACACTTTATTATGGTTGGAGGGGGGAAAAGCAAAAAAAAATTTGTAAGATCTGTTTGATAACTGTTCTGCCCTTGACCTTATTCAAAGAGATTTGAAAGGTGGTATTCTGTCACACGAAACGATAATGTGATATGACACATAGTCTGCATATTAGTTTCCTTCATGTCAAGACAATGTAGTGCAACATAACATGTTGCTTAACACGCCAAACTGAAATAAAATCAGTCAAAAGCCTAACTACACAATAGTGTAGAAGTTGAAGTAATCATTTGCAAGAGCTGCATTTGTAGGCCCTGATTCAGGAAAAATAAAGCCAAGAGTTCAAGCAAGTTTGTACTCTGAAACCATTAAGAATATGTGAACGGTAACTGTGTGGCTAAGTGCGCTGTCTCACTGATTTCAGTAGTTTACAGCCATTTTGCTTTGCAGTCTTCCAGAACATAGTTTTTTTCCCAAACAGGGACGCTGAAATAAGCATGTGTTCACAAGTAGCACATTTCTCATCCTAGTTGTACTTATATTTAATTCCTTCAAGTGTTTCTTTTCTGTTTGAAAGGTACAGAAGCTGCTTGTTAGTAATAAAAATAAAATAATAATTAAAAAAAAGAGCTTCAGACAAAGCAGATGTACTTTTCTGAACAGGGAGAGGGAACAAATACTTTTCTGGAGCACAAGTGAACAAACAGTGCATCCGTCTTTTTGGGTGGACAGAGTAGTAAGGAAAGGAATGGTTAGGTCCTCCATTTCATTAGGATGCAAACCCATAATTTGATGGAACAATTTCTGTAGAAAAAAAAAAAAAAAAAGGCATTTTCATTGAAATAAAAATATTTTATGAGATGATGTTGTTACTGATGACATTTTTGATGGAAACATTTCCGTTAGATTTTTTGCCTTTGCTACACATCATTTTGAATTTTTATAATATACCAAGATGTTAATTTTAATTTTGGGATTGGTTAGGTTCAACCTCACTGAACTGGGAATTATGAAAAGTGGAATAGTCACACTGTATTTTGGAAAAGTGTAAAAGAAACTTAAATTCCTTTATACAAGAGTCTGGAAGCCCAAATGATTAGAGCTTTGAGCCAAAAAAAAGGCACATGCTAAAGCATGTGGGAAGAGTGTTTCATTGACTGTTGTCTTGGTAAAAGGCCATGTGAGATATGGCAAGAAAGCATCCTAGAAACAGAGACAGAAAAGGGCATTTAACAAAGGGTAAACTCAGAATATGTGCTAGAAGTGTGATCTTGATATAAATTTAGAGAATAAGTATTTTAGAGTAAGTGTCAAATAAAAAAGCCAAAGAGCATCAAGTAAAGACCTGTAGGCAAAGAAAAGGTTTTCTGAGATTGGGTAAACAAAGCCTTCTGCATTATCTATACATAGACAGAAACACAGTGAGGATAGTAGGTCCATTCCTTTTTTCACCTCATAGCTGCAACTACACACTGTTGATCAACCACTGAGATCCACAATGGGTGCAATAGTTTGTATCAATGCATGTTGTACTAAATATTGTGAAAATTACAATTAAATTAATCAAACCCAACAAAATTTAAATGAAACACTTGACTTTATCAAAATGGAACCTTTTGACAATGTTGGACTCAAATCAAAATGTTTCCAAATTTTCGTTTTGCAGGAATTTAAAGGGTTTTTTTTGGAAACACTTTTTAAAAATTTTTATTATTTTTTTAAGGGGGACTTCCTATCTTTGAAATTCAATCTCCCGAGAATCTATCATACTGTAAGTATTTTTCAGTTTTGATGTTGCCTTGACTAAGAAGATATGTAAACTTAGATAACACTGTGATCAAGACTTTTTAAAATCTACTCTTATGACTCACTGAAGCAATAGTCTGCCTTACAGAAGAAACTCTTACCATTAGTTTCCAAAGAAAAATAATTGCTATGTATTACTAGAACTGTGACAGCAATTTCTTTTGATGGCAAGTATTGTTTTTGTTTGGGTTGGGTTTCATTACATTTAGGAAAAGCTCCACATCTTAGACTAAGTCTTATAAAAATAGCTGAGAATTAGAGTGTTGCATCCAGTCTGCTGGGACATAAAGGGCAGTATTTCACTCACAGATTATTTCCAAAATGCACTACTCTATTGTATTTCTTTTCACATTCTCTGTATCAGGTCTGACAAGTAGATCTGCTTCACGCTAGACTCATGGAGAGCTCAATTTAACACTACTTTTCTATTATAAAAAGTATATACTGATCATTGGCTGGCATGGATATTTGATGTGAAAATCCTGACCATTTTCTGTTATTCTGTACATCTGTGGATCCATATAATATTTTAATGTGTTGTTTCCCCCTGTTATTCAGAGAGGTATCATACTCTGCATAATGGGAAGTAATTAAAATAAAGTTCACTTATTATCAAGACTTAGGCATGGTATCTGCACTCATCATGGCTGAAATAATTGAAATAAAGCAAATGAGAACAGCAAACAAGCAATTCTGACAAGCAAGTGTATCTTAAACTCTTGTTTTCAAATTAAAGAACACAAGGAGATAGAAGACCAACCATGTTCAAAATTGCCATTGACCTCTGATGGAGAACAAATTACAGTGAAGGGTTAACACTTCAATGATTTTTGAAGCAAATGAGGAGAACCTTCTATTGCTGCTTTCCAGCCTGTGCATTTTGCTAATCTATATTTGGCTTCCATTGTAACATTCTCCTTCCACATAGCAATGCATTTGGAAAAAGTGAATTTTTGTCACACTGCTTGCCAAGTATTTTAAACTGACACCAGCTATGACTAATGACAGTGCTGGAATGTGCTGTTCTCAGTAGAATAGAGGCCTGTACAGACCTAGGAGTTTCCTGGGGTCCAGCTTCTGTCTGTTCAGGGGGCTGGTGCCATACAGCAGTGAATGATGTTCAGAGTGAACCAGCTGTATTTCCTCCAGACTGGCTTTTCGACCTCGAATTCGCTGAAAGAAAACAGCAGAGGCCTACAATATTCCACTGACAATATTTAGGGAGGAAAAAAAAAAAAAAAAAAAAAAAAAAAAAAAAACATTTAGTATGATTAATAATGGGTTGAAATTGCGTCATGCAGGAATGTGACACTGATTTGTTTATTAAAGTAATGCTATATGAAAAACAAATGTGTGCGTGGTTTATCACAAATGCTTCACTTAAGTCTTAGCAGAGTTAACAATACAAGGTTTCACATACAAGAAAAATAAAAGATTCTGCCTCTTTTCTACATTTTATTAAGAGATACAAGCCAAAAGGTGAAATATTTAACTAAGAAATCTGCCTAGAAAAATTCTAGTTTACAGACCAAAAAATTACTCACACCTGTAAGCTGCAGATGTGTTCTGAATGAGGATTAATGTTTTTTGCATCACTACTAGTACTTGTGATTTATGCTGCTAGGAAGAACATGATCACAGCGAGGAGAGCCAGAGAGAAGAAGAAAATTAAAGGTTTAATGCTTTAATAAAATATTACTATATATTTTTTATTTTTTTAATGTATGTTCTGTATCCCAGGATCATTTTTGCTGTTACACATGCTGACTCACTTGATTCATTACACTTCTGTAGTTGGAGTTTGTCTTTTTAACTATTTCTCCATCCTGTAGCCTCCCCACCTAAATCAGTCTTAAAAAGTCTGGGTTGTCTTTCTGTAAATCTATAGAAATTTAAACAGTTTAGGAAGGAAGGAAGATAGGAATGAAGGAAGAGAACTAACACTTCCTTATTCAGCAGATCTGTTCCCTGTAAGTATCTGGACTATCAGCTTGTCATAAAAAATATTTACTTCTCTGCTTGTCCTAGTGCTGCACAGCCTTTGCAGTCACAGCAACATGCAGCAGATTTTGTTCAGGTTTGGGCATAATAAACAGCACTGTCAACAAAGTTCTGGTCCCAGGCTCATCTTTCCTGTTGATACTGGATAACATGGAGAGAGAACAGCCTATTCTTAAGGTCTTGGACTCTGTATGGAGATCTGGTCCTTATGAACACTTGGGAAAAACCTCTCACAACTTAGACTGTGTATCTGTCCAACTGTCAACATCTACAGATAAAAAGATACAGAAGTTATCTAAATAGACCATCCTATTTTTAATAGACTGATTAACCTGTTACAGAAATGCCACTCAGTTCTAGTTTTCTTAGAGGTTGGTAGTTTTTACTATAACCATCACCTACTCATGCACATCAGAAAGCACCAACCTCTCCACCAGCAGAAGGAAGCAATATTATAAATATTAAAGAGAATTTGCACTATAGAAGAAAGGAGCTGCCTAGAGGGCGTCAGAAGAATCACGCACAATTTATATTGAGTTAAGCAGTGGCAATTTTTTCTGACTAATCAGGAAAAATATCCTAAGAGTTAGATCTAGATGCCTGTGGAACAAGCTCCCCCTCAGGGATATGGTGGAAGCCCTATTTCTTGCAGTGTTTAAAACTTGACTGGACACAGCAGTGGAAAAAACATTTTAGGGAGTGATCCAAGAACTAAATGACTTAATAAACCCTTTTTCATCTCTAATTTCTTCAAGCCTCTCCCAGTCTCACATGAGAATTTGTAGCAGTGCACTCACATCCTTTTAACACACAGTTGCACAATCAAAATCAGCACACTATGTTACTTCATGGAGTCAGTAAACTCTGTAATGGTTCTTCTGGGTCAGATAAAATGTTTCTCTTCACAAGTGAGATGACTGGTAACATTTATTCGTTCATCCATTCTCATTAGGGTCTATGTTTCTAATAAGCTGCTTTAAAATCTATATATCCAATTCTCCACAGCAAAACTGAGACTTTTAGGACAGCTAAGCCAAATGTATAAGAAAAGAGGTATTTTATGAAGGTCACATCAAAGAACCTTGAATAAAATACTCACTTTCTGGTCATATATTTTCTACAAGTTATATGAAAACTCTTTAAGAGATGTTTAAGAGAGTTAACTGTCTAGCTCTTTTTAAAGTGCTGTTAAAAGCCATCTCCCTTTAACTATAAAAAGACCCACAGCTAGCCATTATTCCTACAATGGGGAGCTCTGTGATATGTGTTCTGGAAGTGGCCTCCCCAAAACGTTTTGCAAACGAGCTACCTACTACCCACTATTGCCAGACAGATTCTCTAGGGCAGAAATGGATTGTGCAGAAACAGGTTTGGTGCAGAAATCAAGTAGCACTGAGCACGATGCCCTACTCCAGGCTGCTCCCAGCAGTGAGGTCCTCAGAGTGCAGCCAACAGCTGAGCTGCCAGGACAGGCACAGCCCAGAGCTACTTTTTCTCCACAGCTTTTCCAGATCTAACCTTGAGCATCAGCAAGCATATTTACACAGTAAATGGTAGGAGGAAAAGGAAGGGTAAGCAGTGCATGTATCTGTGCTGTTTCTGCATTCCCATCTCCTCTTTTCATCCTACCCTTGCAGTATCTTTGCCTGTCAAGCCATTTTCAATAACACTAAAATCCCAAATATCTAAGGCTCAACACAGAGGAAAAAACAATTGATATTAAAATTTACCTGTAATAATTGCTAAGAACAGTTCTTCTTACACAATAATGGCAGGATTTAGCAGTTCTACAAAAGCACACGTCGTAAGTGTGTTGACAGAATCAGGAACCATGTAACTTCAGTTATACAAAGCAATAGTTTCTGGCTGTCACTGTCATGTGTTATCAGACAAATAACATTTACATTTGTATAACTGTACACATATACTTTTATCCACATCTTCTCTATTTTAAAGTGTCTTCCTTAATTTTCATTGGCCATGGTAGTATTAAAAGCCTAAAATGTAGCAGAAAGCAGAAAATTGGCATAAAGCCAATGAAAAACGAGAAATAGCATCAGAGAACTTATGAAAAATATTTATTTCATTCAGGGGTATTTGAATACTATGACCATTCATCTACTACAACCTTATTAGAAAGCAAGTCATCCTTTTCTGATGTGCATGACAATTTGTGTGTTGGCTTTCTCCTCTGACATATTAATTTTCCTCATCAACAGAGACATTTATACATCTCAGGAGAGCAAAATATTGCATGAGTGTTTAAAAAAATCATTCTAGAACTAGGAAGTTATTCTCTCCACAGTGGGAAAATGCTTTCACCTTTCACAGAGTTTAAGGTCAAAGAGGACTGTCTAGTCTGGTCTTCTGTTTAAAATGAAGCATTAAAGTTTCACACAGATAACCTCTGTTAACCTGAAGATTTTGGTTAGAATTTCAGCAGACTAAACTCTTGCACAGTTAGAGATTCAAAAAGACAAAGGTGACACTGCCTGTTTCTTTCTACTAAACTAACAGGAATTATTGACATAGCTTAACGAGTATTTCTCACTCAGGCCTCTCTGTAAGGTATCAATTGCCTTCACTGCAGTTATTTGTATGCAGGTAGTATCTCTGAAATTCCCTTAGCCTATCTAGTTTGTAAATGAGGTCTTCAGAGTTTTTCCTGCTTATCTGAGATTTCTCAAAGTTGTTAAATTTGCTCTTGTTTTTAAAAATACACTCAGACAGCATTGATCTTTTTTCCAGGCAGTACACCCACATTGCTTGTTCTCTCTCCATTGTGTGGGAATTGCAAGCAAGCATACCTCTAACATGCAGGCACCCATGTAGAGATACATTTACTCTCTTTATGTGTTTTGGTGATTCAGTGCCTAACCTGAATATGTTAAACACTATAAAGATCGTTGCTCTTAAAGACTAACTTTCCCTGTATTATTTCTTCTTCAGTGGTAAACTGAAGTTCAGAGGATGGAATATTTTCATGTATTTCTATCTGTGTGATCTGGCAGACTCAAAGGTTTTTAAATCTTTAAATTCTTTCCTTCTCTCTCCTTTAGTCCATGAGATGTAGACAGCAGGAGGTGTAGAATATCTCCTTACTCCAGAAAACTACCAAACTTCAGATCAAATTCCAGGCTGCCCTACATGAAGTAGAGGTGGGGGCACAAAATGGGACTGTGTCTATATCTCTTTTCTAAAACTGTGCTGATCAGTGTAGCCTAATGTCAGTCATTGTGCATAAATTATGGCCTTAAAGGAGCTATGTAAATACTTCCTCTCACTAGAACAAGTAGAAAGCAGACAACCACTGCCAAAATACAATTCAGTTCTTTTTTGGTCTCAAAGGTAGGGCAGCTATGCATTCCTCTTTAACCAGAAAAAAATGCAAAAAAAAGATAATGGATGACAATCTGCATCTTTTAGCTTCTCTATTCTGGTGCTGCATTTGATAACTCTGTTCTATGTCTGTCAGCCTTTAACAAACACAGAATAGGCATTTCAGTAAACATACACAAAATTTTTAAACTAATGCAAAAATATTGTGTCTGAATCGTATTTTTCCAATACTTATATACTACGACTATCCAAAAATCTCCTGTGGGTAGAAATTACTCCACTCTCTTGGCCTGGACTCAGGGACTGGTCTCTCAAATCTGGCTCTCCAGGGCTGGCCATGGTCTGAATGTGTTTCTCCTTTGTCTTAGGAAAGCAAATAGGGGAAGTAATCTATCTATTTGGAAGAATTATATGATTAAGAAAACTTCTGAAAGCTATAACTAGTTTCTCAATTTAGCAAAAAATCCTCTAAACCATTGTTTGAGTATCTGTAGAGCTCAAATATCTATGGCTAGAAAGACAAAATTCAGTCTAGAGAAGCAAGTCCTTTTGGCTGTGTCTGCAGAAGTAAATTAAGCAGTGCCAGGAAACATTCCCAGGCAGAGGAACACAATCATCTGTACTATTAAATTGCTGAAGTGGTCCTTCACACCGTTTTGGCTGAGCAACAACTAGCACTCTCCCAAACAACTCCCAGACATGGTTTGGTCACTGGCATGGGCCAGGAAGCATTCCTGGTAGTAAGAACATGGGCTTTTCCATGCCAGTTGGCCGCCGTGCTGGAGAACAGTCCTAGCTACATTTTATTTTGTAGTGAAGACACAGCTTCGAGTACCCCAGCCAAACCTCATTATGATTTTACCAAGTTATATTTTTTAAATGCTCTATATGGGGGCAATATGAGCAATATTTACAAGTAATAGATTACGTCTAGATTAATCTATTAACTGCATTAGGCATGGTGTCACCCCAGTATATATGACTGCCATCATCCCATGCCTAGTTAGAAATGACGGTTCTCTGTGCACTTGGCCAGTCATCTCTCCAGAGCCATAGACCTGAGCTGCATGATAGGGGTTAATCCACACCACATGCTTTAGGAACCACATTTTGCTCCCTGCTATAGATATCAAAGATCATATAGATATAGATTGCTCATTTTCATAAGGGCTTCTTGTTAGATTAAGAAAATAGGGAGTGTTCCCTGGCACAAACCTGTGGCTAAGGATACACACATTGCAAGGTAACAAGGTCTGAGCTACCTTCAACTGAACTAGCTTTGATCCTGACACACTCATTAGACAAAGAGTGGGACTTCAGCCTTCTTGTGGGACTATTGTTTTAGTAAAGGAGGAAAAAAAAGAAGGTTCACAGTTACTGCAGAGGATTTCCTAAGTGGCTGCTGCAGATGGCTGTCCCTAAACCGCCCTTCAGACTTGGTACATGAGGCAGTGCACATGGCAAAACCTGACCAGAGATGTCCCCACTCCTTCTGACAGAAACTGTGGGAAATTATATTGAGAAATTACATTAAGAAATACTGATGTCCATGAGGGAGAATTCAGAAGTTAGCAAAAGAGACAGTGCAGTTGCCCATGATGTTTTGACTCTCTATCTTCAGTGTGGTATATTCCAGAATGCAGCTTAATGGTGGCCTATTATTTCTTGAATAATGCAATAACCACTCCTTTAGTGACACGAGTCATATATTCAGCTGAATAACTTTTCTAAAGAATCAGAGTACCAATTAAGTGGATCACCACAGCCTTTCTTATTTGGAAAAGTGAGCAGATGTAAGGATGTGTTTGATGTCAAGCAAGTGCTAGAGAATTCAGTGAAACAAAGGACAGATTGCATCATCAAATATAATCCTACATAAGAGGATCAAGATAAACACCAAATCTACACACCAGCTTCATGCTGAGGTTCCTCAAAGTTTTATCATCAGAGTTTACATTTTGACAGCTTGTTTCACATTACAGCCTCATTTCAAAGCATGCAATGGGAGCCAGAATTAACTCAATGCCATTCAACATGAAGTGACTTATTTCCTCTGCCCACCCACTGGATTTTGCAAGACCTAATGGGCTATATTTCAGTTTTTGAAATTGCAGAGTTGTAAGAGGAAACTTTAAATCTTCCAAGAAACTATTAGACTGTGTGTACCTCAGACTAACCTATATCACTTTCCCTATTTACACCTCTTGCATATCCACACAATTTACTATTCAGAAATATGTTTACTACTGAAGAAAGGAATACATAGCAGCACATTGCGTTTTACTTATTTTGTTTCTTTTTGGTTTTTTCTTTTTAATACAGATCCTGAGTCAAGAAGGTAACTAGGCCTTATTTTAGTAAAGCACTGCACTTGTTTAACTTATTCCTTAAATATGTATCCCACCGGTGAAACAACTTTTGATCTATGGCCTTAAGGACTTTGATGAAAGAAAGTCTTTTTGAAAGTCAAAAAAATTATCTAAGCTTAAAAAAAAAATAGCCTGTTAGAGCACTGCCATCTAGTTAGATGAGTGTATACAACATACCCATTTGTAGTGCTTACAATGTCTCAATGCACAGTACACTAGACTACCTGCAGAAAATGTTTGTGGATAATCACTAACAGCTAATCAAAGGGACCTATTGTACCAGTTCCCTTGGGTTTGTAAAAACCTAAGTATATAAAGAAAAGTAATTAAAGAAAAGAGAGCATAAAAGCCCTGGCAATTTTGGGATCCTGCAAAGCATAAGCAAATTTGTGTTGAACTTTGTTAACTTGTGCTGCAATACAGTAAGCCCCCTCAATCGCCGCAGCTTTTGACAGTGCTGCACAACTCATGGGAAGCAGTGAATGGTAGAAAAAGGCTGTTTTTCAGTAACCCAAGTCATATATGAACCTCAGAACCCATATCTGATTTAAGCATGATGTTTTAATATGCAATTTTTTGAGGGAGATCACTAAAAGATTGCACTTGAATGTCTCAGGATTTGACATAGTACCTATTGTACACCACGCAAATGAAAATGCTATGAAAACAGACTTTAAAGTCTGAAATAAAACAAGATGCAATGTACTTATGGAGTGATACAAACTACATTTAAAAAAAAGTGGTGTTCTGTGCTACTACAGATGTGAAATCCTTAGCTGCTTGAAAAAGTTAAGAACTGTGCTACTAAAAGGACTGCACTTGCCATTTGACTACGGCTTGTCTATCTTCCTATATCAAGGTGAGGAACACAGTCATGTCTGGATTTTATTTTCTGATTAATGTGGATAAATTACTTTGATTGTGTAGATTCTTTGTTTTCTGATTGAGAAGTGTGCTTTCCTAAAATGCATTATTTTAATATTGTCAGTTAAGTCCAAATAATTCCTAATACAAATTACTTTCGTATTGCAGAAGTATGACAGATTTAGGATGTAACAAATTGTCATTTTCTTTAACAGGTCAAGTATCTGGTCTTTATTTTCCATTACCTCGCACTTGTTTAGCAACCCAGTTTCTTGCAGCCTTGACCAGATGCTTTGGATCCTTCCAGCATGTTCAGGGTGATTAGCGTAGTTGCCACACATGCACTGGTGCTTCAGCATCAGACTGTCATACACAACACCTTCAGCACAAAGACAACACAATAAGAAGCAGTAAGTGAAACAAATGCAAGTTATACATTTCATGTCATGAATACTATAGCACAACTGGATTTTATTTGACAGTTAGAGCAAGATGAAGATTCTGAATCTTAAAACTCCTTTCCTCTAGGAGACTCTGAATTTTGACTTACAAGGTACATCTTGTAATACTGATAAGGCAAAAATGAAATCTCAGGAAATTATACTAATAAATACAATTAACTGTAAAGAACAAATTAAATTGGGTGGTGTCTTGTTAAAGCTTTTATGGGTAGAAATCATTCAGTCCTATTACCGAGCCCCTTGTTTTCTCTTTCTCTAGTGTGCAAGATCAGTGAAGGCTGTTAACTTGTATATAACAAGAAAGGGTTATATATTTATAGCAGTGTAAGGAAGATGATCCAGAATAACATTTTAAAATAAAGTTTGAAATGGCAGTGCCACTCTGTATTTGTACTGCTTAACTAATACTATATTAATTCCAGATCTCAAAGTGTATCAGATGAAAGTTTCAGCTGGTTGCAGCAGTGGCAGCCAGAGTCCTCTTTCATTAAAAAGAAAAGTTCCACCCACTACTCAATTAGGACCAAATCCTGTTGTTAGACTGCAATGCAAGGTTCTTTTTAAATTTTCTACGCTCATTTATTCAAGGACAGAACAACTTTATATGGAACAGCTATCAATATCACATTGCTCTGTAACGGTGTATTGGGAGAAAAAGAGAAATATTAGCAAGGAGACCCAAGCTAAACTCAATTTTCAAGGCTTTCAAACCAAGTCTGAAACACTGAAAAACTATTTTATTTATTTACTTGTTGTTTGTATTTCTACAGAAATGCCTGGAACAAAAAATATTTTCCTTACCCCTGTGAACCATTTTCATTTGGGAAACATTTTGATTTTTCTTCCCTTTACAGTTGAAAGGGACTCAAATTAACAGTTTCTTCAAGCTGCAAAACTTGGCATTCAAAATCTCTTTCTTTATGTGCCACTACTACTGGGGATGCCAACACAGTTCTGGGAAAATTGTGCTAGCCTGCTACTGAAAAGACAGCCAGTGAAGAAAATACAAAATTAAAGTCCAGATTCAACAACATGTTCAATACCACCCTTATTTAGTAAATTCTTGAATGGATATTGAATTTAAGAAAGTGTTTAAAAACTCTACTGAATAAGAGTCTGTATACATTGTGGGCCACGCAAAGTTAAGGTTGAGGTAATTCAGTTAGAAGTCAGCCATAAATTGTGCTGCTCTAGAAATATTCATGCTGCCATATTTCCTAGCTCATGCACTTTAGAACTGATCCTTTGGGATTTTGCTATTTAAGCCAAATTGATAATCTACCAGTTATGTTTAGCATAAAGAGAACACAAACATAATGCCTATGTGCAGCATGACTAAGCTTATGTGAAATGATTATCTAACAAACAAAATAGTTCATTAGCAATAAATTCTTTTATTTACTTTCTTGGTTTGTTTTCTTTTAAAGAAGAAGAAAAAACAAAAGAACCAGTGAAAATCTGGAGTTAATAAACTAATGCAGCTTAAAATCTCTGCTGGCACTGTCAAAGCAGTTAATTATTTCCTTTCTCTGCATTATTTTGCTCTGTACTGTCTATAAGCTTTGCTGCTCTATTGTCATATTTTATAAGATATTTGAAATAGCAAGTATGTGCACAAATATGTGTGTGCTCACATACCTTGCTTTCTTTTTCTTGGCACCCAAAGTTTTAATTTCTAGTCTGTTACACACCCAGATTGTACAGTTGCCAGTGGTCATATCGTTAGATAAGAAAACTCTTCCTCTCATCCCCTTGTTTAACAGAGAAGGTGTTTAGATGCTAAATGTATGTACATCAGGACTTTCAGAAGCTCTTAGGTAGAGTAAGCAGTTGGATATCCAATGGATCTGAATGGAAACACTTGTTAAATGTTAACAAAATAGGCTGAAATTTGAAAGTATCTCCTGCCTGCCACTCTTTCAATGAAGGTTTTATTGTAATTATCAGGTCAATGCTACCTGAAGGTTTAGGTTAGCACAGTCCAAACTGCAGTTAATAGAAAAAAAAAAAAGAAAAAAAAAAATCATGCTATGTTATTATACAGAATCAAGATGGTATGTAATAATGACAGGTTTTGATTACCTGTATCAGGGTTGCAACTAAAGAGTGATTTTGAAGTGAAATGCTGAATCTGGGTGTTTAGGATACCTCCTCTGTTTGCCATAGATATAAACATCCTTTTCTTAGTCCATTAGTATTATTTCTAAAATAGGATATAACTAAAACCATAATGTTATTGTATGTGAATTATTTTGTCTGAATCAAAAATCAGTTTAATTGGATCAGGTCAGTATTGCATGGCAGAAGTATCTGCCTCAAAATTTTAAATGCTACAATATTCACAGCACTGAGTGCAAAAATTATTTCTAAGCAGGATCAACTGACTTAAGAAAAGGCTGAAGTATATGCTTTCATTTATTCAAGCATCTAAATTGGTTTAGGATGTGCAAGTAATTCAGATGTGTGGTTGCTGGTCATACAGCACATGTGCTTGGTACAATATCACAATGCAGCAGTAGATCTTACTGCTAAAAATAGCCTGTAGGATTTCCCTAACAGGATTCAGCCAATAATCTCCCCACCCCCACAAAAAAAAAAAAAAAAAAAAAAAAAAAAAAAAAAAAAAAAAAAAAGAGAGAGAAAGAAGGAGAGAGGGAGACAACTGTTTTCAATTGCAGACTGCTGTGAAATATTAATAAAAGATGGCTATTCTGTCTCTCCAGAACAAATGCCTACAGCCAGATTTTGCTCTCAGATTCCTTGTGTAAATCTGAGCAGCTCCACTGAGGCTGGTGGCTTTATTCTGGATTTACACCAATATTACTGAGGTCAGAATGTGGCCCTGGTGACACACTGGAATGGTGACACCACTGAACCATATAATGATAGAGGACACAGGACCAAAAAACCTGAATTTGCATTAAGTCAAAAACACAAGGTCTTCCTGGTGAGGACTCATTCTTTTCAAAATAATTTATTTGGGTCAGCTTCTTTTAATATTTTAAACAGAGGGGAGAGCAAGAGACTTAAAAATTACTGGCTAACACCATGCTTTGAAGAAGGTGAAATGCCCTGGACAACAACAGTACCAATAAGAAAACCCAAGGGAAGAAAATCTAATAAATTATTCAGAAGAAAAATCTGAATGAAATAATGTCAAATGTTCTGTAAATCGTCTAAATGAACATCGAGTAGACTTTATATTTTTTTCCATCTTTAACTCAGATATTGTGCATATACTGTGTATATGTTGCATAGCTCTCTCATAATCATCACCATTCTGATTCCCTTCAGATATTTGTCTAAGATCATTTTCTCACACGACACACAAAAATATAAGCTCATTTTGATCCCCATCCGCCACAAGAGTTTTCCTTCTACCTTTTTTCTCTTCCAAGAATATATTGTCTTTAAATAGGAAAAAAACACACAACAGTAAGAAATAATTTAAGTCAGGTAGGTGTTCTTACATTAATTTCTGAAGTCTGAATTATATCTCACTTCATGTTGTACTAAAATTTTCTCCCTTTCCACCCACCCATTCCCTCCTTCCATGCTTTTAAAACGGTAGTGTTGCAACTGCCTGTGGGCAATGGCTAGTTGCATCTAGTGCTCTCTTAAGGGAGAAAATCATTGAACCACAGGATATCTCAGGTTGGCAGGGGCCTCCAGAGGTCTGTAGCCCAATCCTCTGCTCAGAGCAAGTCAGCATTGTGATCAGACCAAGCTGTTCAGCACTTTCATCCAAAAGGATTTTAGAAAGGCTGTATAAGAATAGGTAAAAGCTGGGTCCGGGTTTCTTTCTTTCCACTGACCAATGAATAGGGCACCATCCAGACCCAGGAAATACTATACACAAATAGAGCCATTCTGTACCATACCATACTGTACCGTACCATAGCGTACCATATGGTAATAATACATATATAGATCTAGTTCTAGTTTCTATTCACAGAAACTGTATTAGAACTGTTGATGCTGCCAAGTCTCTGTTCATTGTCACTCCAGAGGTGTTAATCTCATAATATAGAAAATAGCTCTGTTTTCAATGTACTCACAAACTGCACTGATAAAGATTATATATGTAAGATTATAAGTCTAGAGGTATCTCAGGGGAAAGGATTTCTTCAAGCAGAAAGGAAAGGCTTCATTGTGAATGCAGAGGTGTGTGCTCTGTTGGATCTGCAAACTGGTCAATCGGCCAGGGGGTACTAGCTGTTTGCATAGATACAGCTACAGCACTGCACTATGTCTTCAGCCAGTACCTAGAGATGTAGGTACACAGTAGAAGTGGAGAGCCAGAAGCATAAAGTTGTAGAGAAAGTGAAAATGGGATTTATTTCTTTAATGCATAGAGATGCTTATCTTGAAAGAGCTGTAGAAGGGGAAAAATAAGATTCAACAAAAGAAGAAACAAGATTCAAGAAAAAGATGTTTTGGATTTGAAGAAAGGAGTTCAGCAAAGGACTGAGAATCTCAGTTGGAATAAGACTCATATTTTCTCTCTTTCCTTCTCTCTCTCTTTCAAATTGCTGTTGTTCATGTAGCAGTGCTTTACTAAAGGGGTAAGGTTAAACTGTCTGCCCAATCTTAATACACCCTGAATCTGTATATTGTGCCATATGCATTTCCACTGCAGAACCTATCAGGCTTCCTTGAGTCAGATCTCAAGCTCTTTATGCCTGGTATGTCCAATTTCCTGACAGCATCTCTGTTCAGAGTTTGTCCTACAGCATTTAATTCCTTCTCTTACTCTTTCATCTCAACTTCATAATGTCTTCTTTCTTGATCAGTTCCACTAATGCCACAAGTCCCCAGATACATGTAACCCCATTGACCCTAATCTCCTTTCTGGGGACTTATAAAGGAAGGTGTCAGCAAACCTTAGCAATCAAACTGAAATAAGAGTCATTACTTTTGTAAATCATTCAGCTTTTCCAGTGGAACTGCAGAATTTTGAACAGGACATGGAGGCCTACATACAGTGATCTCACTTTTGGTGTGCTCTGTGAATCTTTCAGAATGAGTTTACAATGTTTTGGGGACTCTATGAACCACAAGTAGAAAAACAGCGGCCTGGTTTAATAATCCTGTCTATACACAGCTGGTCTTTTTGCAGAAACTCATGGAAAGTGAATTAGCATGTTTCTTTCTGTACAATCCAAATGTTTCTTACCCAGCAAGTGAAATTCCTAAATTTAAAGAAGAAGAAAATCTTTCACTTTGTCACCTTGCATCCATTTACCCACTTACTTGCAGTGTTCTAAAGATATCTTTTTTGCATTTTTTTTCTTTAAAATAAGAAATTTTTGCTTTCCAAGTTCACATTCTAATTAAAAAGATAGGAGTGCATGCTGTCTCACAAAGTCACATACAGCACCCATTAAGGACTCCATCTGACATCAATCCGTGGTCGCGACTTGAAGAGCTGTAAACTTTCAGGGGCATAGCAAGTTCTGCCAAATGATGTGAAAGAATTAATACATCTGGCAGAAACCTGAATAAACAGTATCTCCAAGTTCTGGAGGTCCAAGTTTTGGGTGTTCTAGTCATTCTGCTTTGGGCAGCCCAGGCCTTACCTATAGGAGATGCTCCCTGAGTGACTGGACTGCCCAGGGCCCGACCATAAAGCCTCTCTCTGTAGACTCCACACAGGTGGAATGAAAGACACCCGATTTGTAGCCAAAATCATCTTTCAGTCATGGCTACAGTTTTGCTCCTTCTGTAGGGAAAGTAATCTTGTAGCACAGACTAACTTGTCAAATGATGATCTTGAGAATTATATTGCAGCTTTCCTACTTACTGGTCGTCTTTCTTCAACTTATTGGTGGCCTCTTCACTAAACAGGCAACAAGAACACAGAGAAAAGAACCAAAGGATAGGGAAATGAAAGAAAAGCTATAAATGACTTAAAGGCACCAAAAATGCACCTGTTGCTATATTGCCAGAGCCAGTGAATGATAATAATTTATGACTGTGTGAATATTAACCCTGTGATTTATCAGCTGCACTGGTTGACTTGATGCCAGTACAGCATCATAAAGCTGAGGAACAGTAAGGCTAAAACTGAATGCATTGCAGCAGGAGGTATTTGAGGCATTTAAATCTGTTGATCCTACATGAACAAACGCATTTGCCCTGCCTATTAAAAGCAGTCTTTAGGGAGTCCTACCAGTTGTGTAGACATGCTGGCTGGGCTGGTCCATGTCTGGGAGAGGTAATGTGGAATCAGTGGGGGAAGACGGGGTCCTGGACACCGACCGATGTTTATCTAATCCCGCCATGCCAACTGTAGCCATCTGAGCCTGGTAGATTTGCAACTGGTGGACACGCCGATGTGCCAGGAACTCCTGTTTCCAAGAAAACAGCACAGTAGAAAGAAATGTGAGACGGGATCAAGTAAGACACTGAGGGAAACATGTCAACAAATTAAGTTCATTAGGTCAGGGCTGTAATAAACAGTGTGGAAAAAAAACCCCACCAACTCGCACCTAAGACCTAGTCAATAAATCCATTCAACAGATGTTTTCACACTGACAGTGTGGGCTGCTGATTTTGCTGGAGAATAGGTGATGGCAGGCAACCTGTCAGTTCTCCCTGACAGAGGAAAAGACAGCTACAATGCAGAGGCTTATAAAAGACAAAAGTTTTTATAATACATAGAATACACAATATGATGTTAGAATATATATTTTATGAGTCTACACAAATAAAAACAAAATCTGCCTACAGCACTGAAAGTGAAAAGCAGTGTCCTTATTACTCAGTACCAAATTTGCTGAGCAACCGTGAGTCAAGTTTCTACAGAGGACTGAGTTCCCTGAGTGCTCTGGAAAAGAGGAACAATTTGCACATAGGATTTCAAGAATCATTTAGAAATTCAGGAATTGTTACATAAGATCCCACTTAGGGACCATCTTTTTTTGTCATAACTGCTGCCAACTGTAGGCAGTGCCAAACCCTTCAGGAAAGGTAGGCAGGTAAAGACTGAGACAGAGCAGAAAGGAAGATTTCCTCCTCCGTTTTGTTTGTCAACAGATGGTGACTTTTGCTGACATGACAAAGGCTGAAACCCTGCTGAAGTTGGAAACCCTGAAGTCAGTCAAAACCTTGGCATTCACTCACTCCATACAGTAGGTTTTCTTTGCAAGCCCTTTTCTTTCTGTTGGTTGGTTGGGTGTTGTTTGGTTTTTTTTTTGTGTGTGTGTGTGTGTGTGTGTGTGCATATAGTCCTTGGACCTCAACAAAAAGTTAATGCAAGAAAGAGATTTCCAAACCACATTACAATATAAATTCAGTTGAAATTCACACTTCTGTCTTAGAACCGCAGACTCTCTTTATCCTCACCTGGTCTCAGTATACATATATGCAGGTATATGTATGGTGTACACATGGCCTTTTTTGTTGTTTAAACCCCGTAACAATTAACAGTGCTGTATGCTGTTGCCTGGGACAGCAGCAAGAGGGATTGCTGGGTGCTCGGAGGTGAAACCGAGTTCAGGCTGTGTGGGAAGGCAGGTGGGAGTAGTCGAGAGTACCCCAGCCCCTCACGTGCTGCAAAATGAATCCACAGCTCATGGGAAGCGAGAATGTCTACCCTGCATGTAAAGAAAGAGGCCTTTACCAGAACGAGTGCTCATCAATAACAACTGAAATGAGAACAAATGCCTTTAAAAGGCAGCTTCAAAACCCACATTAATATCTAGGGTCACCACTTCAGTGAAAAGACATAAGGTCATGGGAAGGGTAAACCACTTGGGACCCTGTCTTAAGTGACTAAATAAAGAAAGAAAATATGAGTAAGCTAAAAGAGCTTTTACAAGAAGTGTCTTGGTTTGGGGTCATTGAACTATTTCTCTTTCTTTAAATACAATCCCCAACTTTTCCTATTGCTTTTTTAATACATGATGACAAGATGGTGTTATATATTCCAGGAAATATCAGTGGCATCTGAAGAAGTCTATGTATTCCATTTCCTTATGAACATAACTTAACATTCAGGAATCCTTTCCTGAAATGCTTAAGTGCCTTGGTTTTACTTCACTAATTATCTTAATTGTGATAAATTTTCAGAGGAGCTATTTTCTGTGCTCCTAGGCATACACATCTTTTGTAACCTTTGCTGGAAGTCTGTGTGATTGGAAAGAAGTGAAGAATGCATGGATGCGATTGTGTTTCCATATTTTCCTTAAGGAGAACAGAAGTAGATAAATTCCTCTGTGGGGATTTAGTATTCACTTTTGTCAGTGCTGGCTTAGTGCTCAATAAAGAAGGCACAGGAGGTATTTTGCTGTCTGTGGCACAATTGCTCCCTGCATGCTAGGGTCAAGTGGTGACAGCAGCATTGTCTGTCTGATGCTAGTGTATTCACCATCTCCTGCCTACTATTCCAAAGCATGAGAGCTAGCTGAGCAGTATGGAAGAAGCCAAACTCCTACCTGCAGGAGCCCTTCCTCACAGAGAGCTTTACTGCCATACATGAAATCAGCAGAATGGCTGTTATTTCTGCTGCTCTCCTCAGCCTCATAGGTTCCATTCATTGTGTTAATTAAATAGCTCGTATCTGTGTAGTTCTTCAGTCAAGGGGATTTTTGATACTGATTAATGATAATTCATTAATTGATCTGATAATTTCTAGAGTGCAGAAGACAAAAGGATTTGTTCCCTATTGGAATGTTCTTCAAGCTAATAAGCTACTCTGGCAGTCTGTATTAAACAGTATTACTCAAGTATACTGCTTAAGGAAAACTTGGAAAGTCAGTTACCAGTGAGGGGGAATTCACGCTTTACACAAATGTTTCTGTTTGGACTTTCCTCAGTACCAGGCGACTCTGAGGTCTTATCCTTTAGAGCTGCCTTGTCTGCCTTTCTTTTGCTTTCAAACTTCACTTGTGCAATACCTGCACAACCTTTTTCAGTGACGCTGTAAGTTTTGCATTCAATCAATATCTAATCTATCCAGGTCTCTGACCCAAAAAAGTCAATTTAAGTGGGTTTGGGGTTTTTTTAAATGGCATCTCGAAGAAGAAAAAAAAGCAAAGTCTGGAATATGACAAGAACAGATATTTTGGGAAGGTATTCCTACCTTTGCTTATAAAAAGATTAGGTGTTTGTCTACGTAAGCAATAGAAATAGTACTTTTTTTTTCAGGCATATGGACAAATGAAGTTACATTTTTTTAATGCTAATCAACCTGTGTGAACATCACCTAAGAGCCAGCCAGCTACATATTTCAGCAATTTGTCAAAGACCAAGAGAGAGCCTGTTCTTGCTCTCCTATATTTTGCTGCTAAACTGTGTTTTGTTTATATCATTCTTCCCTCCTCAAATGAAACCAGACACATACTTAGAATTTGACACATGTTTATCAGCATAATCAGTCCAGGGAAGGAGAAGAAATTTGTGGATGGTTAGATGGAAAGCTGCACGACACCTGTTTTAATTTCTGAGGTCACGGAAAAATGTCTGCCTGTGAAAAACCTTTTAAAATTTGTTAAAAGTGCAGTAGTTTGTCTCACAAGGCTTACACTGAGGTTTGCTTATATGCTCTGGTGACTTCCAGATCCTTTAACTGTAATTTTAAAAACTCTAGGCATCAGCAAAGTTTGGACTTGTTTAGGTTTTAGTCAAAGTTTTAGTCTAACTTCCTGATGAGGTTTCATGTTACAGACAACAGGCACTCATGAAATACATATATTTTTTCCAGCCACCTACATATTTATGCTGTGAGCATTTGAGATACTTTGTGTCACACAGACAAGTGGATTAATGCAATGAGTAATGTGGATAATCAACACATTTATCTGGCTCCCCAAATGCCCACCTGGCCTCTGGAAGGGATTAAAGAAACACAATGAATTCATCTTCAGGTTTTATGTGCTACAGCACTGCAAACACATGTCCATCTCCCCAGCAATATGACAAAAGCAGTATTTGCACATCTGCAGGGTTAGTGATTTGTGTGAATATATTTGGAGCATTTCTGAGGTAACCTGAGCCCTGCCTGCCCGGCATGGAGCCTGCTAGTTCCAGGTGCCTGAGATTAGTTCATTAGTAGAGGCAAGCAATTAGGGCCTCTGCCAGAAGGAGTGGAGGGTCATTCATCGTCTTCTCCAGAAACCGTCTCAGGCCCTCAGTAATTATTTTGAGGATTTTTTTTAGAATCAGTATCTAAAGAGAAGATGACCCTTTTAGAGGCACAGGAGGTAAATATTTGTTATTCTCCTAGTATTACTGTAAGGTTTGTTGTTTAGAAGGAGCTGCAATTAATTTGGATTCTGAGGATTTTAGTGAGAATTACTTCCTTATTTCTACTGGCTGAGAGAACTGGTCACCCACAAGTGTATTCAATTGGATTGTTAGATGGTCTGTATCAGATGACAAAGCATAGGTGAATTGTCTATGAATTAATGCTCCTTCAAGCTCTTAAATTTTGTGGAGAAAAAAATGTGGGGTTCACCCATAAAAACTTTTCTTGCCTCTCAGCACTCTGCTTCTTAATTTTGTTTGATATGTTTACATTTAGTTTAATCACAACTAAATAAATCCTAAAATTGCTATGTCTGCACCATAATCCTAAGTGGGTATGGGCATATGCACTCCTCTCTTCATGGTTTATGCTTTGGCTTTTTTTTCCTTGTTGTAGAACATATTTTTCTCCTAATAAATTCAAAATTTGCTATTCCTAATAGTGAGATTGCTGCTTATAGTCTCTCTTACATCTGTAGCCCTCTATTGTTGTGCCTCTACTGCATTCTGCTACAGTATGAAATGTGTGCTATGCCTATTAACTATTAAAAATCATTCATGTATCACCCATTCTCCCCCAAAGACCTTTAATGCTACTATCCTTCCAAGGTTTTTCCACTCAAAACATTTTTTGTGATCTGTTCACTAGTTATTTTTTTCTTATAATGTTCACATTGTTTTCTGAAAACTATCCAAAGGACCAGTTATTACCAACAAGGAAAAAATACATACATGCTGCACATGTACTTTTCCTCACTTTCGCCCTAAGTGAGGATGAAAACAAGACCTGCCCGGTAGGAAGACCTTCTCCTTCCAAGTATTTCCTCTGAAGTATATTGCTGCCTTGTCTCACTCCATGGCTGCTGTTGGACGCCCTGCTCCTTAGCCTCTTCCAGACCCCCCCATAGCAACATGGGAACAGAGTAACTTCAGGTCCTGCCATTTGCTTTCCCTACCACCTTCCTACTTTCCCACTGCAGTTGTAGCTGAATGCATCCAAGGGGTGTCCAGGCCAGCCAGTGGCTGCATCTAGCAAAATGGCCTCTCCTTGCAGCAAACAGAGCTCAGTCCTGCGTTTAAGGTCCTCGTGATGGCTGCCTTG